AATAAATTATATACACTTCCGGACACCTAAATCAAGCCACAAGCCATTTTGTACTGCTTCTCGGGGCTTGAATTTTTTTCCCGCCAAGAAATTATCCAATTTCTGCAAAAAGTAGTAGTCTGTAGGCGCAAAGTTTGGTGAGTAGGCGGATGACGAAGAGCTTCCAACCCCAGTTCTTTTCTCCAAAACGGGGACTTACTATATATATATATATATATATATATATATATATAAACGATTCTAGGATGTAAATATATATATATATACAAATCTTATTATGGTACTTTTTAACCCGGAAAAAATTGATATTCCTGAGGAAAATCAAAAGTATTGGTATAGATGGCGCTGTGTGTATTGGTATATGTCACATAGGCTACTTTTTATTCTTTAGTGACGCGAGCGAAGCCGCGGGTAAAAGCTAGTTAAAGAATAATAGCTCTTTTAATGATCTAAAAAAAAGTCTGCGACAGTATGTGTCTATCTTTTAAGATTAACTCACAAAAACCGTTTTTATGGTACCAATTTGGTCGAAATAATTTGTTTAAGTTGTATCAACATGATAATATTAAAAGCATTTCTTAAATCACTCAAGACAATATAATACATTATTTCAGATGACTTCATTTGGTGCCAAAGAAATTCGTGAGGGAAACTTTATGCCCACTTTTAAAGTCCAAGGGCAAGTTTATCGTAAGCTACTTGCAGCTGTAGGAGCACAACCCGAATTCCTCCAAATATATGTTGTTTCCCATGTAGATCAGGTATCCTTGCGCTCAAATTTAAACCCAAGCTTGCAAATTGACCTTATCGATGTTCTCCAAACATATCTTCATGATCATAATACGTATATTCAAAGTTTTAAGTACAGTCTAGAAAATAGACCACCGAATGATTTAAAACTTATCATTCATGCTGATGTAAAACCTCCTAATGAGCATAGAGGTCGGTATAATGCGCCGGTGGTAGATGAAGTAGCTGTTCTTATGATAGATGAAGACAAAGGCCCCTGTGATATTGTATTGACTGCGAGAGATGGTCGACTTCAACGAGTTTCTGAAATTCATAGATCTTATGACCCGCTTCAATATCCCTTACTGTTTCCCTTTGGAAAGAGAAGAATACTGTATTAATATTCCACAGCAGATTACTACGGCTACATCTAAAACTGTTTCATGTATAAAAAACAGTCCTCATACCCCGCATCCCAATGATACCCAACGACTTACCTTTCAATTTTAAAAGAATACATATTCCGCTTAAATTATCTGTCGCAGTCACAATAAATAAATCACAGGGGCAAACATTCAAACCCGTGGGGATCGATTTACGCCAAGACTGTTTTTCACACGGCCAGGTATATGTCGCGTTATCAAGATCGGGTTGTGGTGAAAATCAATATGTTCTTCTGCCACAAGATAATAAAACAAAAAATGTAGTATATGCAGAAGTTCTTTAAAATAATTTAATTTATTTTTTAAATTGTACAGATATAGTTTGGAACTCGAAAAAAAACATCGAAAAAGAAATGAAAATTCTGCGGGAACTCGACCATTCCGAAAATCCTGCAAGAACGGGAAGAATAAAAAATTTGCCGGATGTCACTATTCCACGCGGACGAAGTCGCGGGCAAAAGCTAGTAATAGTATAAGATAATAGTATAAGATGAGAAGGTTTGTGAGGATGTATGTGAGTTTGTGTGTGTGTGTGGATGTTTTTGTTACTGGTCACGTAAAAACTACTGATCGGATTTAGAAAAAACTTCACAGTAATGTAGATACTTACATCAGAATAACATATTGGCTACAATTTGAAATGACTTTGTTATTTTGGGTGAAATATAATACAAAAAGTTAGCCAAGTCGCCCGACTTTATGTCTTACCAACGTAGTAACTTCCACATAAAAGGTAGAAATATGCCGCCGCCGACTTTTATTTAGAACTAATCAAGACATACAATCTTACAGTACATTAACTATCTTAGTTTAACTCCTATGGTTTAGGCAGCGTACGCCCAGATAGGGCTTGGGGTGGGAGGAAACGTCCGGGTGTCATCACTGCGAGGACCGCCCTGAGGACACGGTGGAACACACTGTGGCGGAATGCCCTACGTGGGCTGAGCACCGCCGTGGCGTAAAACATCATGCGACAACCAATAGGAGCTAAGCAGAGAGTATGAAACTGCGCGGAAGTAGCTAGTTCATAATATTAGTAGAATAGTCCAATTACTGCAGAACGGGAATTTCATAGGATATTCAGTAGTTATAGTAGAGTAGGCTACCCTAACCTACCTTACACATGATGACATACCTAAAAGTATTTTAGTATCTAAGTACCTAAGTCAGTTGGCTTGCAATAGGCAAAAAAACAAGTTATTCAACCATCAAATTAAAAGCAAAAAAATCTATTAGATTGTTATCAGCAAATGCGGCAATAAAACAATTCAATAAGTATAGTATAGCTAACATTTTTACGGTTAGAATTTAATTGTTCCATTTACCTATGCATAATAGATTTTGTAACGCTTCATTAACTTTCGGAAAAATGTTGTGCTAGAATAAAACAAGCACAAAATTCAATATAATACTTACCTAAGTAGGTAAGTTTTTTTTATACCACGACAGTGGCAAGAAAGCATACGGCCCACCTGATGGTAAGCGGTTACCGTGGCCTATGTACGCCTGCAACACTTGGGGCATTACCGCATTACATGCGTCTTGCCTACCCTTAAGAAACCTATTCACTACCCTCTTGAAGAACCTCATGTTGTAGCCCACTGGGAAAACCACGGCAGGGAGTTCATTCCACAATCGGAGGGTCCGTGGGAGAAAATTCCTCTGAAACCGAACTGTACGGGACCATTTTTACCGACTTCAAAAAAAGGAGGAGGTACTATGTTCGGCTGATTGATTTTTTTTTTGTTTGTTCGCGCAGTACTCGTCCGTTTGTGAACCGATTTCCAAAATTCTTGTTTTGTTTGAAAGGGTATACTCCCGAGATGGTCCCATTTCCATGGAGTCAGCATCTGATGATGGGATCCTAGGGAAACCGAGGGGAACTTTCGAAAATTCTATGGGCGAGTAATGCGTCTATTATGTTTATGGCACCGACTTCTTACCTATCAGTGGGTGGGTAACCTATCAGTACTAATAATAGTTATTTTTTGCTTTTTAGTTTTGACTTTTTGTTTGTTATTAGTTTTTGGTTTTTTGAAGTCGGTTTTTTAAACGCAGTTTTTATTTTGGCTCCAATAAGCGATGCCTGAGCCCCCTGTCGATGGCGAGCGGTGCGATGATAAAAAGTGGCCGTGGGCATCATATCAAATAATAAATATTATTTATAATTATCAAATTTATTTTTTATGGAGGGGTTTGAAAAGTGTTTGATGAGGATTTATTGTGTTGATAGTCTAGGGAACAAAATTGTAATGCTGACCTGCCACGGGCCACGGGCCGTTTATCGACGCAGCATACGAGAGGGCCCCCAGTCCCCCCCCCCCCCACTGCAGTAGCCCGGTCTACTCCGGTCTCCTTCTCCGGCACGACAACTACAACAGGGATTTTTCACGGGTTGGCAGATCCCTGGGTTCGGGAACTCTACTGACCCGCGGGCGGCCAGCGACGAGCCGTTTACTGGGTCTCACTGACCGCTGCGTCCACGCGCCTTCATTAACATGCGACCGCATCATTTGCTTCACCGGTCCCCCGCTATCAACACAAGAAATCCTCTGGAGAACTGGATACCTTACTTACCGCAGGAACACAACACTGCCGAAACAGTGTTATTTGGCTGCAGTCTTCTGTAAGGTGGAGTTCCTTCCACAGTCGGGCTGCTCCAAATTGAGTGGGGTATACCCTCTGTGCCCTACCACTCTTCAAAAGGAAAGTGCTTTGGGCATCGTGCCGAAGGTTTTTTGGCATTAGGTACTGTTAATATTAATTATGAGGTAGGTAGGTATTTAGCTTTACCTAAGAGCTCTAGAGACTATAGTAGGTACTGGAATTGACATAGAAAGTGGCGTCATTGTGCACTAACACTGCTCAAGTTTCGATCTTATCAAGGTAGGTACTCTCTAATAAACCTAAATCTTCTGGACTACGATGCGTCATGCGATGTCCAACCAGCAGTTGTCAAGCTTCGAGACATGGAGCAAATATAAAGTTGCTTCATGGTAAAAAATGTGTTTGTCTTTTGTTTATCTTTAAAACATTGTAAAGTTGATACCCTTTTGAATAACAGCATTACATTTTACTATTGTTGTGTGAATTAACTTTTAAAACGATTGTCAAATCAGTATAATACAGGCTTATATAGTTTTTGGCTCACATAATTGAATTTTTGTTTCTACGACATCGACATTGTGTTATAGTAATGAGATTAATTAATATTAGTCTTCTTGTATTTTGCATTGTAATTGATTTAGTTTACATGCACAGTAAGTACACCTGCTTAATGACAAGATTAAACTAACCTCAGAAGTAGCATAGAGTTTGGAATTATGCCCAGTACCTAGGTATATGGCAATAGGCTCACTCCCTAATGCATATGGGACTCATAACATAACTGGTGAAAAGCGGGTGTGGTAAAAACATTGCAGTGGCATTACGTGCGATACAGTGCACCGTTGCTTGCCCTTTAGGGGGTGAAAGGAGTGAAGGTATAAAAAAATTAACCACATAAAAAAATAAGTAGGTAGGTATTCAGTTCTAAAAATACGTTTACATAATTTTAATCGTAACTGAAAGTGAACGTTGTGAAGGAGATCGTTGTTACGTTCTCCGCGTTACCGAGGTTCCGGCTTGAAGTGAGGAGTAGGAACGGGTTGGCTTTTTGTTAGTAAGAGACTGACACTTCCTCCCGGGTGAGGACTCGGTCGGGAGAAGTCATTCGATGATTCTCCACACTTGGTAAAAGGGGTACCTATAACCTCTAGGCCAGTAATTGAAAGACTATAAATAAGTTGATTAAATACCTACTTAGTTATTTACCTATCTATCTAATATTGCAGACTCTACGTTCCAAGATGATGGTCATTTAAGTAACGACGGTGCCGGATACGGAACTAGTTGGATCTATTTTCCAGACGGCGATGGTTACCCTCACTATGTCAATCTAACCAACGTCGAAGAAGAAACTCTCACCAATCGATTGTCAACTTATTCTGATATTTTATTTAGATTATATATTAAAGGGTATGTATGTATAATATCTCTACTAAAAAGGTAGAAAACAACATGTGGCAACCATTCATGTAAATTAGTACCTATCTGTTGAATTTGATTGCCTATCGTCACCGAACTGGACGGCCCTAAGGGAACCAAGCTTGATGACCAGCCGATCTTTGTGACAAAGTCACAAGTCGTAGGTTTGAAACTGAGAACTTACGTACCTTAGAGTAGCCGATATATTCGAATCGATTTAATCTTTCATATCACCCTAGTTTACACTGGGTTTTTCTCCTAAATAATTATACTGAATATAATATATAATATAATATCCTGAATCGTATCGTGTGAGTGCGTTTACAAATTACTTTAGTTTTTTAAAAGTTTTGCCAATTTTAAACGCAAGCTTTACGTAGAAAGAAAAAAAATTACTGCACAGTTGGCGCGGTGGTTGGGCAACTGGCTGCCGCGCGTGTCGCAGGTTCGATTCCCGCACGGAACAACTCTTTGTTGTGGTGTCATGTGTAAGTGAACTTGTATGTTTTTAAATGAACCCATGACACAGGAGAAAATCCTAGATTTTATTAATTATTGCTTACGCACACTGGGGCCCCGTGGCCCCGTATAATGGGGTAGATGACTAATTTTCATTTCTATGTCCGCCTGGTAGATTATTTTAAAACATTAGACGCGTATTTTTTATTTTCTACTAAACTAATAAGTACTTTCGATGATATATTTATTTGAAATATCATATGACGTCACTTCTATGTACAATTTATAGTTAGAAATGACGTTTTACTTCTAAACTTTGATTCGTTATATCTAAATATTGTTTTCCTATAGGACAAATTAAAAAAATACGTGTCTAATATTTTTTCATTACTTAACTGACGGACTAATTAGATTTTTAATTTTCATATCCCGTCATCATCCCTATTGATACGTCAGATACAGCGCTATTGTACGCTCTTGTTAAAATGGTAAAACGGACTGTTTATGCGATACTAACTTCTTTTATGTTTTTCATAGTACCTATATAGGTAATAAATGTGCCGAAATTATATTTTCAGTAACAAGTACCTATTACCTAACTTAGGTACCTACCAAAATGAGAGTTATATCTTATTGGATAGTGATGGACGACCAATTAATAAAAGTGATCGTATTACCACAGAAAGCATAATGTCTTCAAAAATGCCTTTAAAATTTTTAACCCATGGATGGCTATCATCAGTTGATAAGCCAGGGGTACCGGATTTAAAGAATGCTTATTTAGAAACTGGAAATGTTCATGTTATAACTGTCGACTGGAGCGCTACAGCAAGTTCTATATTTTATCCTTGGGTAGCAAATGAAACTAAGAATATTGGAGCTAGAATTGCTTTATTTTTAGATGGTTTAAATAAGTGGTACAATGTGACTGGGGAACAAGTACATTTAATTGGTCATAGCCTTGGAGCTCACGTCATGGGCATCGCAGCATCTCAAACTAAAATGCGCGTGAACAGAATTACGGGTTGGAAACTTTTGTAATACCAGTACCTACAGTCAGCACAGCTATTTACTATGCAGGTAAGAAATAGAGATTGACTCAGTACAGACTACAGCCATAGTAGCTATTATTGCTAAACTAGCTTCTGCCAGCGGCGTCGCCCGCGTTCCAAGTGGTAAAAAGTAGCAAGTAGGCTATGTATATTACTCCAGACCGTAATTCACGTCTGTGCCAAATTTCATACCGGCCCCTTCACCCTTATTGATGTAACTGAGTAACAAACATACACTGTAGGTGTACCAAATATTTTTACTTTTATAAGTAATATCAGTTACAGAATAAAGTTCACTGCGGAAAACATAACATTCGAGATAAAAACGTACCCAGTGTGATGCCCAGAATATTACAGTATAATTATTATATACCAAGTGTCACACAATCGACCGGTATTTTTTGCGTGATTCGTGAACATACAGACAGATAACCAAAAAATTTTTTAATATCATTTTGGATTCGGTTTTTTTTATATATATTTTCAACGTACAGAATTTACATTTGTGAGGTACAGTTTTATTATATGTATAACAGATAGGTATATATAATTCATGTCTATCTAGTAACACCCCCCCCACTATTATTTTTTTTAATATATTCAATGTACAGAATTTACACTTGTAGTTTTAATATTTTTTAGTTCAGTTTTATTAATTATGTCAAGCCACTACTTTTTTTTTGGTTTGTAACCAATGGTTAAGTACTGTTTTTGTACTGAATGAACCGAATTAATCTTTATTTTACCTGTGTAGTAGTTAAATAGCTATGCGGACTGTATCTACCAATTACTACTTTACGATTCATAAATTGTATCTCACGTTGAAAATTTAATATTTTAGGACTCGATCCAGCCAGACCCTTTTTCGAGTTCCCATCCCATCTTAACGATTCAGAAAAACTAGATTCATCTGATGCGGATTTTGTTGATATTATACATACATGTGGAGGTTTGTTAGGTTTCCTATCACCAATTGGGACGGTGGATTTTTATCCAAATAATGGAGTCGCACCACAACCTGGATGTGAAGATATTGTGAAGTTCTTTGGTAAGTGCATAAGTTGCTTTTCCGTTTAGCTGTAATTTTTTGTGTTTTGCCGCTTCATACCCATAAGTACTTACCTATGAACCTGCAGATGGTAACTACAATAATGTTCTGTCCACAAATATGTAGAGCCTGAATCCAGCCACAAAAGTAGTACCTATAATATATGTATAGGGCTTTAATTATATAATGTCTAGATGGAGTGTCAGTTCACGAAAAGCAGCCTAAATTTTGCAGTAAACTGTTGCACTACAATGCATTTTCCCGTCAAGTAGTACCAATTGTGTCACCTAGGCGTCACTACGCTACAACATTTTGTAAACAAAAGAAGTACACACAATTAATTAATAAATAATTAATATACCCACAATATACCTAATCAAAGGCCGCACGCACACATGCAAGAAATTTTGGAACGTAATTTTTGTTGTATTGTATGGTGACGTTCTGCCTAGACACTATTATAATAAAAGGTATAGGGTACCTAATTTGAAATTTCAAAATTGTGCATATCTATTTACAGATGGTTGTAGTCATGGCCGATCATTTTACTATTTCATTGAGTCAGTCAAATATCCCAAATCTTTTCCGACATATAAATGTGAAAGTTGGAATGATTTTTTGACTAAGCAATGTGATCATCATGGATATATGGGTGAAGAAGTGAACAGAACTTTGAAAGGAAAGTATTATTTAATAACTAATTCATTCGAACCATTTGGAAAAGGTGTATAGAAATAAAAGTAAATACAGTACCTACCATAATATGTAAGATTTAATTATAGGTACCTATATTTATAACTGATATTATTAGGTAGGTAGGTTCCTAGTTTTATTTTCTTTGTTTTCCTTCAGCCGTAACCTAAAACATTCACATTAGCAAGATTATGTAGGTACCTACATCAACCATTTATAATTATTAAATTCATTTTTAGTTTTCTTTTATTTAATTTTTATCTTAAGTTGTAAAGTTAAAAGTTAAGTAAAGTTAAGTATATTTAGTAATAGATAGTATTTATTTTATGTTTGTATACCTATTATTTTTCATAAAATCGACAGACAGAACAGTCAAACAAACCATTTATTACACATGTACTTACATGTAAATGCGGTAAGTACATTTCATTTATTGTTATTATAGGTACATCTATCGTATAGCAATGGCATGTTTAATTATCATGCTGCTATTAGAAATAACTCTGGAAATTGCTATGTTTTGATATTTTTCTACAAGATTTTTCTAAGTTGATGGGATAAGTGTTGCTATTGAAATTGAAATGTAGGTACTATTTTAAAAAGATAAAATCCCTATACCCAAGTTGAGTTTATAGTATGAGTTATTCCTATAAGGGCCGATTTTTCAATCATAAGTTAGTTCTTAACTGAGGAATAACTTTGAAAATTTGACAATTCTTCCATACTAAAAACTGTCAAGTGTCAATTTTATTCTTCAGCTAAGCGTTATCTGTTATTTGTAAAAACGACCCTAAGGATATCATATATTATTATTCTTTAATTATTATTATTCATAAAATTAAAATCATCTCTTTTACGGAGTGAAAAAAAATAAGATTGTCTATGCAATTTAACGTTGACGTTGACTGATGGAAATGTGGTTGACATTTGACATATTGAATTCTTGACAATCTTGACATTTTCGAAATATTAAAATAACATTGTACATTGTACTGTACGTGAAAGCTTACAATAGACTGTAAACACCAAGTATTACAATATCGTATGATTAAGTTAATATTTTCTCGTATTGTTTTCATTTCAAAAACAAAACAAAGTTTTGCTGCTTTATACACTATTCTGTTCTCTGGTTGGTTCTTTTTTACATAAATTTTATAAAAACATCAGACCCATAGGAAGCCGATAAGAACGAATAAAGGTAAACTCAACTTTAAAATGAACAGAAAAAGGAATGTTAGTTTTATAAAACCTGAAGACCCAGAATTTCTAAAAGTTTTGAAAAGACAAGCTGGGTATGATGACAAAAATCACAAGTTTGATGACTTAATGAATGCAGAAGGAGACTTTGCCGAAGACGACGATAGTGAGCAGCCTCAAGTAGTAGTACTTAAAGAGGGTGACTTAACAGCAGAGGAAGCAGAGGTAGAGAAGTTGAGAATAGATAAATTAGAATCTGAAACCAAAGCTGACTTAAATCAGAGAGTATTGTTTAAAGCTAAAGCAAAACCAACAGCAGACAAAGTAAGTTCTAAAAGAAAGCAAGATAATAAAAGAAAAGAATCAAAAGGAAAGAAAAGTCGTCCTGTATTGTCTTTTAATGATGAAGAGGAAGAAGATGAAGATAATGAAACATAACATTTTCCTAATTCGTATCACCTAGTAGATAGAATAACTTAGAAATAAAATATACCATTTAATATGTAACTTCACTGTTTATTTTTAATACTTTTTGATGATAATAATATATTTATTATCTATAAATATATTTATTATCCTGAAGAATGTGATGCAAATTTAAAAAAACACAATATATTTTTTATTGTCTCCATGGCAGAAACACAAGGTTAAATAATTATGTACCATATTATTTAAGTGTAAAAATTTACTGAAATAGCAATTTTAATCAGATTTATGAAAATTTCTTGCAATGAAATACAGAAAACAATATTACATTATCTTGTATCATCACAACTTAGCCGCTTTTTTATTTTAGTTCTGGGACCATTTGTGGCTACCACGGTGTCATTTTTGTAATAAACTTGTGGAATTTCATTATCATTTTCATATTCTAACAGTTTGTGAAGTAAAAATCTTCTTTCGTCTTTTACAATTAATATGCTTTCTTGAACCTTTGCTACTTCATCACACAATGCAGCATTTTCCTAAAAAGAAGGTAAAATATAGTGGTGTTAGTGAAATAATTACATTATCTGGAATCCATCCTAAAAATACAAAGTTAAAGAGATTGTTTGTTTGAATGGGGTTAGTACCAGTACCAGGGATTACCTCAGAACTGGTTCGAATTCAAAATATTTTTTGTTGGATTATCAATTTATATGGGCATATGTTCAGTAGTGGACGTCCTGTGGCTGATATGATTAATTGATGATGATGAATCAATTTATCGAGAAATAATCTTCAAAACATCACACTGCTGAGCATAGTAGCAATATTTAATTAAACAAAACAGTGGTATTTTAAGATACTTACTAAAATTAAACTTTTTATTCGCATTTTCATATATTTGTATTTTTTTCTATATCGCTTATTCTGCTTGTCACTATTAATTGCAGTATTCATTGTTGTCAGTCCTATAATACACGTATCTTGTTCAATTTGTCGCGGAGAACCTAACGGGTAACCGGGGCTCCGGCTCGACGTGCAGGAGAAGGAACGGGGTGGTTTTTAGTCAGTAAGAGTCTGACACCCTTCCGCCTCACCCAGGCGGGAGCAGTGACTCGATGATATTCTCCCCTTAAAAAAAAAAATTTGTTCAATTTGATAATATTTGTAGTCGTTTTCTCTGGATAGGTACATAAAAATTCACAACAAAATAAAACCAAAATCCTGTAGACTTACTAGACTCTTTGTATGTAAGTACTCTTGGCTTGGATGGATTGGAACAAAGAGTAGGTTTATTAAGTGTAAGGGATTTGGAAAGACTATGTAAATAAAAATAGGTCAATCAATTACAACCAAATCAATTACAATTTTTGACAGTGACAGTTAGGGAGGGTTGCCAACTTTTTTGACGAATAAAACGATTTATGACAAAGTCCAGAGATTTCTGCTCACTTTTTAATGCACACTTTGTACATACGCGGGAAAAAGTAATTACTCAAATAATTATTGGCATATACCTAACAGTAAGTGAGGTAAGCTTAAAACGTAGAAAAAAGGCGGACAGTATGTCACTTAGAAATGATTGAACCTCTTTAAATAATTTACTCTTAACCAAAATGTCAGTGGTTTATAAATGTTTACTAAGTAATTTATGTTTTTATGTGTCAATGCATTGACACAGGCATATAAAAACACCCGGGCCGGTAACCCAATGGTTACCTACCAGTTCCCACTACAAAAATATTACAAACATTATTCTTTATATATATCTACGGTTACCACGTTATTAGACCTAGGAAGATGTCCATATGTCCTTCGCAACGAATATACTACTCGATACTTTTTACGAGAGGTCCTTCGTGTCAATGTGGCATGTAATTATGTTCTGCTTCTGTAAGCCTATATTATTAGCCAGCTGCCGCAAAAAATTGTGTCCGCCTTTTTTTCCAACGTCCTTGAGAGGTAAGCAAGGACGACATAGGTTTTTAATAGAATTTTTTTATTAATTTTTGCTCACGCAATATTTTTTATTGATTAGGAGGCCAACGAGCAGACGGATCACCTGATGGTAAGCGACCAGCGCCGCCTATGGACACCCGCAACACCAGAGGAGTCATAGGTTCGTTAAATATGGGGGCACCGTAAAATAGGGATGATGAGGGTATGAAAATTAAAAATTTAATTAGCCCGTCAGTTAGGCAATGAAATAATATTAAACACGTATTTTTTTTATTTTGTGGTAAAAGAAAACAATACCTACTAAGGGCGGTAGATACCCATCGCCTCATTTAACTGATGAAAAAAAATTCTTGACCTTAAATTTTGCGATAAATGTAATTTTATTGCAAAATAAGTAGGTACTATAGATATTTTACATTCAGAAACTCGAAGATCACTTCGCCAGTTACTAAGATAAAATAAAAAATACATGTCTAAAGTTTTAAAGTAATCAAAATTATTCATCTACCTACCCTATTGATACGATAAATATAGCGATAGTTAAAAAAATAAAATGAACCTCTATAGACTTGTACTGTTCAATAGCTTTATCATTTCAATAGTTTCATCCGCTCTACTCGTCTCCTATTAGATAAACGCAAAAAATAATTAATATTCAAATCGGACCAATAGTTTCGGAGATTAGCGCACTCAAACAAGCCCTTCAACTTTATATACCTACCTAACCTAATAAAAAAATAGGTCTATGATAAAATGATGGGAGGGAAGAAAAAGAAGGAAGAGAAATGCTATGTTCACCTATACATTTATTCTATAATTCAAATGGGAGTCGCATATCGATTTAATCGACGATGGCATACCTAGTTACAAATAATGTGTAACTTATTACAGAATTCACAATAGGATGTACTAACAATGAAACCTTTATTCTCCCTTAGCCTAAACAAATTATTTGATGAACTAAGTTTATGCTCGAATGTGGAACATATTTCAAAGAGCATTTAATTGTATTTATTTTAAAATTAGGAATTACATAAAGCTTCAAGCTGGTACTTCCCGAAGAGATATGCAGGTGGCAGATACGTATTTTTTGTTAGTATATCTTCAAGGTATTATTACTATTGCTAGATTCAAGCTATCATCCTGATAATAGTACTGAGAATTTCGAAAACCGAAACAATTCATTGTCGAAACTGTGCCTTTGGCCAAACGCCACTTTAGCGCTTGTCTACCGAGAGAGTAGTAAACTAAATGGATGACACTTGTCAGTGTCATCCCGACACTGATAAGTGTCAAAATTTACGTCAATTCCATATAGTACATAATTTGGTTTTCTATTCTACAAGTAGACAAGCGTTAAATGGCATTTGGCTTGGCTACAGCTGCTGGAGATCGAACCTGTCACCTCTCGTTCGGCAGTCGGGACAGACTACCAACAAAGTTAATAATATTTTACATATGTGGATATCTACTAAATCCACAGACAATTATATATACATAAAATTAATTAATCAACGTACATTTTCACTGAAACTGTTACAAAATATTTAATATTATTTCGAAACATTATCTATTGTAAACAGATTTCTATTGGCACTATGCATTTAAACTTCAAGAAAGGACAACAATAGATTAAGTATTATGCCATAAATCAACATATGGATTGAAAATATTTATGATTCCAATTTTATAAATAATTAAACCTTACATTAATGCACAGCACAACATTTTAATTTCTTGGAATGAATACACGCTATTTAAGAATTTTATATTTTATCTAGAAAGTCCAATGTATAAATATATAATAGTTAATTGGAAGCGAATTATTACTTAGGATATATCTTATACACATTATTGCATAATAAAGTTGATTCTGTATCGTAATTCTGTTTCAATTTGTACCTAAGTATTGAGAGGATTTTTACAATCTAATTCTTATTAATAGTTACACTCGCAACTATTTATGATAGTTTATCAAGCTATGCGGTGGGTATGCAACATATCTTTTTTAATAAACTACTTATTTAACATAATAAATGCTATCACTTAGTGTCTCCTTGTATGGATTTAAATGCAAAAGTAAAACTTATAAGTAAATTAAGAACTACATTAATGTGATGAAATCTTACTCATCAATTATTATGTATGACACTGTATGCATAGAAAATAGTTTGTAAAATAAGATTTCAAATGAAGTATAATAAGAAAATTTGTATTTTTAATGTAATTATTATATTCATAATTTGGAAACCTACAAACGATTGACGATGATTATTACTTTTAGCATAATTTATATTAATGCTTATTATAGTATTTTGCAAACTGCAAGTACGAATGTACCATAATTTTGCTTATATATAAATAATGTTTATATTCTATAAATATATATTGAACAACCTTAATGTTTCGAGAGATAGACCGTAAACTACAAACTTGCAAATAGGTAAGTATTAATCTGTTTTGGTGCTAAATGTCGGACTACACAGATAACTAACATTTTAATAAATAGATATTTTTGTTTTTCAACATTATTTTAAACTAATATTTTGACGTAGAATACAGATTAAAACCATATTTTAAAAATACATTTAAATATTTTTCTTAAAATTTTAAATATTTATTATTCATTTATATACCTACACAAATACCGGAAAACTGCATTGCGGAAACGCATACCTAACTAAACAGAAAGATCAAAATGTTTTTCTTATTGTAATACAAATAGGTTTTTCAATCCTATGTAGGTACCATATGGTGATAAAGTATTTTACGAGACTGTTACAAGTATACTTCATGGATGTTTCTACTCGTTATTTATCTAAGCAAAACAATAATTTATTTAAAAATTTAAAGCGGCTGCGATCCCTAGGCTTTACTACATTTTTTAAATATTTAGGATGGTGTTTGCTGTCCTTGCCGGGCACACTCGTGTGATGATGTGGACGATAATGGAGCATGTCTACCTACGAGCAACCTACTCACTCAGGACTTTAACTCGTCGAGTACCGGTTTTATAGACACAAATAAAGAACAATAGGTCGCGGTCACCGGTGACCGCTTGGTGTTTGACAGTTTAAGACACTAAATCTATAAAAAACAGGGCTCACCAATGTTAATGATAACCTATTCAAGAATTACGCAGAAACAGTTATATCTTACTAGTTGCAATAATTTTATATTGTCATTGCTTAGCAATAAATCATAACAATTTTTATAAGTAATGATTTAAACTGATACAAACATAGCAGTTTCTTTTTTACTTAGTTGTACTACCAACAAAATATCATTTGCTTGTACCCCAGTATTAGTGAATGCAAAAAATGTTTTTATGTTGATGAATCAATATTGAATGATTGTCACTTTTAATAAATTTTAAATGTACAGATATTTAACAATTGATAAGTGACAATAATTTAATTGCCATTTAAAATTGCTTTATTGCTTATGCTATATTTGTTATACTTCCTATAACAGCACCCTACGTCATTGATTGACAAGATATGGCATTATAGAAAATATCTAATTGCCATATACCATTCATGAATTAGCAGATGAGTTTTTAATCGAATCGAATGTTATATTATTTTTAATAAATGCATTCATATTTATTGGGCGATCCGCTCACTTTTAAACTTGAATCTAAAAATACATGATATCACCCATAATAATAATTAATATACCAACATTAACAATGTAATAGAAACACATAAACTACATAAAATACTTTGTAAACATCACTCATTTAGGTACATCGGTACCAGTCTAAAAGAGAAGCGTATTTGGTTCCTAATCCAAAATATTACCAATGACTTCAACGTTCACGCCGAGCTCGTTTGGCGCGTGCCGTGGGTAAAGAGGCGTTAGCGTCATCCACATCTCTTTTCTTAGTCGGCGCATGTGGCCGTTGTAGTTGACTTTGTGCTGTTAACTGTAACTGCAGTGCATGAGTATTTAGACGTTCAGCTAAAAGTAAAGGTCTCAGCGCAGCCATCTTATGGCTGTAGAGTGTAACTCGCGGCCGACTGTTTACAGCAGCCGTTAGCTGTTCACGCACAGACATCTCCGTATTATCCGCATTGTTATTCCATTTATCATTATCACCTTTATCAACATTTTCTGTACCTTTTGTTGATTCTGTATGTTCATCAGCATCAGTTTTGCATATAATGTGAACTTGGGCTCTTACTTCTGCATCAAATTTTGATATTGTGCTCACCAAAGGTTTTGCCCAACCAATATGAAGAATTGGTGTTTGGCTACCTTCCTCCCACTTACATATGCCATCATAAAATCTAAAAAGATAATAACATATCTGTATGTATTTATATATTTAGTAGCAAGTAAAAAGAACTAGTGTTAGTAAGTCTACCAACCTGAGTAAAGAAGCAAAGCACTCTGGGTCCTTTAGGATGGACCTGGCAGAATGTCCAGAACTCTCAGCTTTCATTAGCTGAGGTATTAATTCATTCGCTATTTCAGAAAACTCCTTGTATATCTCTTCATCATCACGAGAGTAATTGTAGCTGTAAATAAGAATGCACTTTGTAAGTATACACAAAGGTATTATTATGTATGTTTGAAATAAAACTGAAAGTGCACAAGAATATGATAGTGATAATAAATTAAATGTTTTAATGCATGTTACTATTTATGTGTAATAAGAATTGTACTCAATTTTACCTCTTACAGTATTACTGTTATACGTTAATGTTAGCTATTGAAAATTATTAGTTCTTTATTCAATACTAATGCTAGTATTAAACTGGATTCACATCTTTCTTAATCATAAATAATATAAAACTCACTGTCGAATAACATCACCAGCACAGGCCCAAGCGTGAAAAGCTTCTTTGTACATTTTATTGCGATGGTAATGGCCTCCTTGGAAAGTGTATGGATATACATGGCGATCGTCATAGTTCGTTCTTGATGATCGAATAGCTTGGGCATAAAGTGCAGCTGGGTCTGGTCTAGGTGTACCATCTGGACGCAAATTTTCCAGTTTATTAAGTAAAGGTAACTCCTCAGACTCTGCAGAACAGTTGGCTATTCTCATGTATTCATCTAAATCTCCAAGATTGCCCAAAGCCATAGGGTAAGCATCTAAGTGACCTGTAAATATGAGATCTTGTTTAATTTCCCAAATTTTTTTAAACAGCTTTGTTTCGAGACATGCAGGTAAGATTAAAATCTTGCAACTCTAATTGCCCTATCAGTAGCAATAATTAATTTAGTAAAATTAATACTTTTTATTTCATTATTATTTTATATTTTACCATTGTCATATAACAACCACAGAAGCCTGTGCTGCATCTGAGCAATTTCATGGACATCAGTAGTTTGGGTTAATGTAGGGTTGATTGAAGAGACAAGAGCAGCAAGTTCCATTACTCTGGTACATATCACTGGTTTACCAGCCACATACAACCATGATCGAGCAGATACACCATCTCCCACTGATCTTCCACGTTTATCTTCATTGCCTTTGCCATGCCAAGTTACCTACACATGTAATTCTTATTATAACTACATTATTCTTATCCTCATACTGCATATAGAGATAGGGGTAAGATAAAATTAGTAAACTTATAACATGTTTACAATTTTAAATTTTAATATTTTTGTAATACAAACCTCAGCCGTTTCTGTGCAATCTTTCCCAAATACAACCCAAGCATGATCCTCAGATAAGGCTAAGTGCACATCTTGTTTACCAAGAACTTGACATCCTGCAGTTACTGCAAATGCTACCCCAAAGCAGTCTAGTTTATTTCCTGTTAAAAAACTGTAAATGGACTGCAAATGTGCTCGGTCTTTATAGTAACTGCGAGTCAAAGAATTCCAAACAACATCGGCGACTCGTTTGACCAAGTCTCTGTCGTATAGGCTCCATTTAGTAGTTTCACATCGACGCCTCCCCGCATTAGTGTCACAAAACGTTCGTGTAGTGATTTTACTTCTTCATATTCAACAGACGGAAATTTCATTTTTCCGACTTTGTTCGCCGCCAAATTCATTTCCTTGTCGCTGTTTTTTACATTGGTTAAATTATTTTCAACCGCCCCAACAATGATAGAAAACAAAGCCAAATCTGCCTCTTTCTCACTGCGTAGTTGTTCTTCAAACAGATCGCATACTTTTTGTATGCTATCTATTGGAAAATAATGCTTGTATTCTTGCAACGCCATTATTCTGAATGCAATGATTTACATATTTCACAAAAAAAAAACAATAAATAATATTGTAAACCCTAAGGTTTTGCCGGTAAATTATTATTTTTCATTTGATGTGTATTTATTTGTATATATTTACTTTTTAATTCCCGTCTTTGAAACTTAGGCTTTTAGACCATACCTGATTACTAAATTATTTATTTTAGACGTTCCGTTTTTAGGACCATTCTTGCAGGATGATGCATAGAAAGTTTTACTAAGTAATCTATATCATTATCTATGCCCATTTTCAGAAAGTTTTTTAACACAACAGCAAATATCTATGGATTATGCTGTTGTTGACGTTTACACCATTGACGTATCCATCATACATGAAGCTAGAATTTGACTGCTTGAAATTATTATTTATTTTAGGAGTTTTCATAGGATGTGTATTGAATCATATACAGTTTTGTTTTAGTGAATGAATCACCTGTCATGAATAATATTAATATAGATAAAAGCATTCAACATGTTGAGAATATAGTCCAAAATAATCAATGTAGTGTGTGGTCAGTTATAAATTAAATCTTATTTTAATTAATTATTTTGAGTGTTCCCAAGGATATAGTGATGGAAATAATCGTGGATTATTCAATACAGCTCTCTTTTTGGAAATAAAACATTTTATTTGTAAATTTTTTTCTTTCTTTGGTCCTTCAGTGCCAAGACAGATGGTCAGCGATTGAGATATTCCTGTGGACATACAGCATGTGATGACTGTGTGATTGATGTCATAGACTGTAGTATTTGCCTTACACCACCTCAGGTTTCCTCTCCGCAGCCCAGGCTTGATAATGTATTGACACAGCGAGTGAAGAATGCATCAACACTTTTAAGAGAATGTCAAAAGTTATTTAATACGGATGGTAAGATATTATGTCAATGACTTTTGGATTGCTTAATTCTATCTACATTATCTTATTAACAAGTGACTCCCACACAGTTTCCGGTATGAGTGTGTTTAAACAAATGCTTCAGATTTATGTCTTAATATATACAATACAATGGTTTATTTTTAGCAATCACACGTAAAAGATTATCAGAGCAGTTGAGAATTGAAAAAGAATTGTTCCCAAAATGCATTCAAGCTCCATTAAAATATGAGAACAAAAGAAAAAGCTCATTTAATTTGAGTAAAAATAAAGAAAACTGGGTGTATTCATTTTTGCCTGGAGAAGCAATATTACATTTAGACAAAGATAACACAATGGAAAATTCTTTCAAATATGTCCAGCAGTGGCTCAATAAAAATGATAATGATTTTGTGAGGAAACCATTTAGAGATTTAAATGTTAACACACATTTGAATCATAATGTAAAGCATTCCAGCAACCAATATGAGACACAAAATAATTTTAATAAAATTTTATTAGTTTCTAAAACAAACAGAAAAAGAACTCATTATAAAACCACTGTAAGCAACCAATCTTTTAGAAGTCCAAAAAGAAAATCTGTTATGTATCAAGATACAAGTTCTAAGAAAATTAAAATAGAACAACCAACACCTACAACAAGTTTGAGGCATGAACCAAAACATGATAATGATGAAAGTGGTATATTTATGGATAATGATCCTATTGTAATAGATGATTCACAAGAAACAGCTATTGACAAAGATAGAAATGCATGGCTTGCTGTGCTTGAAGCCAATGAACATGAACAAAATGAATCTACCTCAGTAGTACACTTAGATTGTAGTGATCCTCAATATATCCCAAAAGAGATTGCAAACAGGTCTGAAGGGAAACAAAGCAGAAGAAACCAAAATGTACCTTTCTATAAAAAAAGCTATATTACAGAAACATGTACACTTTGTAATGTTGATAAAAAGACAACAGCACAACCAGAAGATGTAAAAATAACCATTGATAATCCTGATTTCACAACTACAATAAAGATTTTGAATTGTGCTGAAAATGGCTGTAAGCTGAAAACAAAGAATTCGGTTTCAGTTCAAACTGATATTTTTGAAGTGTTCAATGGTAATGATTCTGCAGTAGCAAATTTGAATGACACAAATGATAATATTGAAGATGTTGCACAAAAATCTGATACACAAAGTGAAGATTTATTTGGAGATGAAGAAAAACATAATGAAAATGATAGACCAAGTCATGATTATAAGTGCTTAGTAATTGCCGAATCTGATAGTGATATGGAATTAGAGAGAAGTGGCCCATTGCCAGTTAAAGTTGATGTCCATAGATCTTGTGATGAAACGTAAGTTACATTCTAACTCAATATGTATCAAAGTTCCTCTAAAATGTTGGCTTACTTGTTTGGTATAGGTATCTACTTAGTTCATAAAGTTATACAAAGTACATATTTTATTTTTACTATTTTTGCATTAAATTAAATTATTTTGTTGGTCTATACGAAGGCTGTACTAGTTATATAAGAAATTTGTAGCCAAAACTGATAAAACAATATTTTTTCAGGGATTATGGAATTCTAAGTGAAATTGAAAACATTCAGGAGCATACCAGCAGGTCAAGGCGTGGTCCACGAGGGCTCACACCGACTAGCACTGACTCTTCAGAGAAAGAAAATTTTAATCCCAACAGATTGAAAACACAAACAAACAAAAAGAAAAAATATTCAAAAAAATTATGAACATGTTTTTTTTTTATTTAAATTAAGCAATTTTATTTTATCTTCCAATGTGAATCTATAAGTTAGTTGTAATGTATTTCAGAATGTAAGTTAAGCATTCATTATTTCTTAAGGATACTGTTTGTGCCTTATTTGTTTAATGGCAATGATTTGAAAGTATAAATTATATATTTTTATAATTATTTGTTTAGTTTCCTTGAACTATACAATTTAATTTTAGGTCTCAGTCTTATGGGACTTGAACCATTTACTAGTACTTATTTCATTCAGTAAAGCAAAAAAGGATTTATTTCCTATAACAACTTATCAAACCGTAATGGAAAGATTTTCATCATATTTTTGGGGGTTGCTAAGGGAATTTTAAGAAAGATCAAAACAACATGTTCGGAGGTATCACTGTATTGTCAGAAATTTCGCTATAAATTATTAGAGATGGAATCACCACCAACCGCCGCCGCCACCGCCGCCGGACTTCCAGCCACCGCCTCCACCACCGCTAGACCAGCCGCTGCTACCGCCGCCGAGTTTCCAGCCACCGCCTCCGCCTCCGCTGGACCAGCCGCTGCTGCCACCGCCGAGTTTCCAGCCGCCACCACCACCGCCGCTGGACCAGCCACCACCGCCAGACTTCCAGCCACCGCCGCCGCCGCCGCTGGACCAGCCGCTGCTACCACCGCCTGTCCACAACAATATTATTTACAATCGTAATCAGAACTGAAAAATACACTTATTCCAAAAGTTGGTAATTAATCAGGATAGGTATTAAACAGGTAAACCTGAGACCTAAGTAGGTAGTGTAGGTATCTAGGTATATTTCAAATATTATACAATGCTCGACAAGGATGACAAACAAATATAGGTAGATGATGGCAAGATAATTATATCGGTGTTGCAATATCGTTACTCAAGTCAATGCCTCCTTGAAATAGCCTTGACTTGCGGTCAAATACTCGGACGGTAACTTTTATTAAAATAGTAGTAATTCAAGATTGCGTAAATAAATTACTATAGAACAGACAACGGAACACCTAATGTCCAGGCTAAATGCAGCGATTGCAAAATTTGTAATGATGCCCGCTGAGCGAATGGATGACCCCAGCTACAGGCGATGTCTCGACCTCCAACTACCTACCTACTAAGCGGTGTAAATACATATATGTAGGTAGGGTACCTTCTACGCTACTGTGGGTACCACTAAACAAGTTATGTACCTATAGGCATCAGCTACATCTACAAATTGGATTTTAGGACACCCACCTAGAATTTAATTAGATGCCTAGTTAGGTGCTTGTGTCAAATTATTTTCAAGTCTTGAAACTCCTTTACCCATGTAAGTACTTATATTACAATGTAAATAGCGAATGGGAATAAAAATTCCCAGTCGCTACCGGTGTTGGAATAGAATAATAGAAACGGTTGAGAACAGTTCAATAAAGTCTACTTATTAGGGAGGTCTCACTTTGGTTAGGATCTAATACCAAAGCAGGTACACACATGTAAATGTAATGTCAACATGTATATACATAGATAGGTGCCGCGTAGTGTTTAAGTTCATCGACATTTCGTGACTTCGTCGTTACGAGGTCAGTAAAGCATCGATGCTCATATTCGCAAAATAACAGTCCAAAGCATAGTGTTACATTTTTTTAGGATGTTAATATGTATGGTGTTTGTCTCACCTAGTCTAATAATAAATAAAAGGAAATATGTATCTTACCGTATCCGCCTCCGTAGCCACCGCCGAAGCCGCCTCCACCTCCGTGACCACCGCCTCCGGAGCTTATGATCTTGATGATCTTAACTTCTGTTAACAAAAGATGAAATCGTTAATATAACATTTTTTAGATATAACCCACTAAATAATATTATACCTAATTACTAACTAAAACAATTCAGTAGGGACGGTGGGTAACGACGGTAGGTAAAACTATAAAACTTCGAGAGGCTGCTTAAAGGTACTTAGATAATTATAATTAATAAATATATTGTCAAAGTAAAATATTGAGGTAAATAAGTAATATAACTTACATAATATAAATAAGTAATATAACAAAGTAAATAAGTAAAATATAACTTACGGCCGCCGCTACCACCGCCGCCGGACCAGCCGCCACCACCACCGCCGCTGGACCAGCCACCACCGCCTCCTCCGCTGGACCAGCCGCCACCACCACCTCCGAGTTTCCAGCCACCGCCGCCGCCGCCACTACCGTAGCCGCCGCCGTAGCCCCCGCCGCCGCCACCAGACCAGCCGCCGCCACCGCCGCCGCCGCCGCCTGACCAGCCACCGCTACTAATGTAGCCGGCCTTCGCGACCACTGCCAATGCTAACAGACAGACAAACACCTGGAACAAACATAATGGCAAATTACTATACGGTATATAAAAGAAATGCATATAATACAATAATATGAAGCTTTACAATATAAAAGCAGTCAAAATGAATAAAATGTTTACAAATTCATTGATAAGATAAAAATTGAAAGTGCTACAAGAGGTCACGATGCATAGAATGAAAGGAGGAAAGATTAAATTGTGTAGAATTATAATTTATAGTATAATCAACTCGGTCATCTGTATTCGCTTAGATGTCAATTTTTAAAATTGTTTTACCTATTTTGTGAGAGTCGGTTTCAGGCGTAAAGGATTGATAAGTTTTCTTTACAGTATGCTTTATGTAGAAATAATTATTAATAAAATTAATTTAAAACATGCAGTTCCATAAAATATTTTTTTTTATATTTAACACAGAATATACAGGCACTACGGAATGACCATGGAATGTATTTCGTTCTACCCTCTTTTAACTGGTTTGTGATACTGTGGATAAACCTAATACAATAAATATAAGTTGCAATATAGAAAGGAAAAATATTTATAGGAACGTTGAAATAATAAATATGATTTTATAAAAATACGGAAAATACTTTAGTTTTTCATATAGGTACAAAACCAACCATAGGCTAGCTTCCTAAGAGTCTACTTTTGATTATAGGTAATGTAAATATATTATGCTAAATTGAGATATTACCTTCATGGCGAAGCTGAGAACAAACTGCTTGCTGAGGGGTCGTTGTTATCGCATTATATATGTGATGTAGCATCTCCCACTCGGGTGCTCCGCTCGCGGCCGTCGAGAGCCGTGAAGAAGCGAACGGAAGCTGCTCTGCGGCTGCGGCCGTCTGTTTGTGACGCAACCCATTGTCCCTGCATGATGCCGAACTTGAGATTACTTCAATCTCTACCCTGTTAAGCTTTACTCACATCTTCACCATTTTGATTAATTACGCTGTGATTACAAAAAATAGGTGATTGTTACATTATTGCATTTTATTGTCGGTAGGCACTATGTAGGTATAGATATAGACACCAAAAATGTCGCTGAGAGAGATTTGATTGACCCTGCTTACTCACAGTGTGACCTATCTGTTTGTTAGCACTATTGTCTACGATATATTGTAGGTAGGTAATAATTTACAATTCAATCAGGTCAATTAAGAGATTTTCAATATTGAAGAAGGTATACCAAAAAGAATTTTACCTAACCTAGGTGGCACCGAATGTGAAAAGTGGTAACTACAGTCATAGAACACCCCATATTATATGGACAATTATTTGTACCTACTGGTAACAAAATAGGTGAAGATTTAATATTTCTATACTTAACGCCTCTATCATACGACTTACTTAGGAGATGAAAGGGGTTGTTATGTACCTAGGTAAGTACCTAAATTATGTCGTCACCTTATATGGGTACCTACGTATACCTTTGGTTGCATAAAATAAAAAGTTTTGATCCACCATCCAATAACCAGGAAGCTCACATCACAAAATCTGATGATGTAATTGAGCAAACACCTAATAACTATGAACATTTCAATTTTATTTTACATCGAGGTCAATTATTCTTCTTCGGATCTATATTGCTACTTATTAACGGTAAATTAAGTATGGTACAAGTAAACAAGTAATTAAACACTTGTCGAGTGGTCGCAAGTGCGGTCGCCATCCACGAGGTCTCGGGTTTAATTCCTAAGTCGACAAAGTATTAGGAATGCTCCGATTGCAAAATCTATCTAAAACACTCGTGGGTCGTGGGTCGAGTTGTGCCCGGGCAATAACTTCTAACTTACTTGGTCTCCCGGTCTCCTCCTATTCGGTGACTTCGGTAAATATACAGGTAACTAAGAAGCTACTAATAATTATACGGATAAGTATCCACATTTGTCGAACTTTTCAGGGTCACAATCTAAGATGGCCAATACAAAAATTAACTGATAGTACTTAATAATGTTTGAATTACGTTGGTAATTTGGTATAGTATCTATAAAGTTACTAATAAGTAGAGATGGTGCAAATTTTAGCTAAGTAAAACTTTAAAATAAAGATATTATACCAAATATTTACGAGACGGAGTTCGTAACTCAGTCACGTCTCAAGTCCTCTCGTAGTCTGGTGGAATTGACAGCAGGTGGAGTAATTGTCCCCAATTATTGTCATCATAATCATCACTAGATAAATATGTACCTATTATAATATAATGTATGTCATTTCTAAAGTCTAAGTCATTTTTCGAGTATTTAAGCAGGTGCACTTCGTATATAGGTACTATGCGATAACTAAAAGAATATAGTAGGTTGTAGGTAGTTAGGTATCTACCTATCATATACATATGTATGTATTATGCAATAATCGTTATCTGTAATTTCACCCTATGATAAGTCGGTAGTCAGTTATAAAGAACAAAAACTCCCGTTTCAGCATTGCATCGCGTTATTATTGTTATTAGGTCAATGACCTAAAATTTAATTCATTGACCTATTTTAGGTGTTAATTGACCTAATGTAGGTTCTGATTATATCTCTTGCCAAAATAAGGCAGATGATAGTAAGTTCCTTTACCTACATAGGTACTAAAGCAAACATTCAAAATTCATGCCAAATGAATATAAAAAATGTTATCATCTTTTGTTAAACCAATAATGTTATGAATTTATGAAT